ATCGAAAGGAAGAAACAGAGCTGCGCCGGTGCAGGATCGGTTGTGTTGTGTCATACAAGGATGACGTGCCGCGAGGTAGCGCCGGTCGTTGGAGGGATATAATACGCGCATCCGGGCTTGGTTCATCTTCAGCAAATCATCAAATCAGCAAATCATAACTTTCACTCGAGCGACAAAGCCCGCACCTGCGGTAACTCTTAACGAGACTGTACTGAACATCCATATCACATACTACATGCAAGATGTCATTCGAACTCGTCCCGTTCCTCCAGGTATTTGCCATCGCCGGCGCTGCTTTCCTCTCCGGTGCGCTCCTCTTCTATAGCCACTCTCTCGAATCCCACTCACTTCTTCCCAGGGTACATCACCACCTTCTCGGTCGGGATCCCGCATATCGCGCTCGCGCCCCCCCTGCTCGCCGCACGGCAGTGGGAAGACTTCTACGACCGAGGCAAGCTCAGTGCGCCCTTTATCGGGCTCTTCTTCTCCCTCCTCTTCGTGTACATATCCTATTCCCTCGGCGGGCCTTTCACTAGCTCTCTAGCGGCGCTCTACGCCCTCGCTGGAGCAGCGACAGTAGGCATCATCCCCTGGACACTGGGAACGATGCTCCCGATGAACACGAGGCTGCAGGCATATGCGGCGATGAAGGAGTCGGAGGTGCAGGGGGAGAAGGCGGAGAAGAGCGCGCAGCAGGAAGTGAGGAGGTTGTTCGCTGCTTGGACGATTCTGAATTCTGTTCGGGCGATGTGGCCTGCTCTGGGCGCGGCCTTGGCAGGGTGGGCGCTCTTGGGTTGGTGAGGACTCGGATGGGATGATGCACTGCCGGTGGACAAGCGACAAACCAAAGATACGAATGATATTTATGCTGTGTTATCCTCAATTCTGAACAGACACCACTGTTGACATATGCCAGTGCTTAACAGTGCGTTCGGTAACGAGGTAGAACAGGTATTCCGATGCAATCCCGGCCAGATTCCAACTCGAGATCGAGGTTGAGCTGGGGCGCGTTCGGTATGCGCTCTATTTCAGAGATAGACCCCCCTCTATCTCGTAAATAGGCCCTCTATCTGAGTGAGAGCTCAGAGCTCTATCTCTCACCTCAATCTCAATCTCACGCTCCTCCACACCCTGAAAATGGCTTCGTCAGCCAAAAATGTGACCAAATAGTGCAAGTCCACCGAACGCGTCAACAACGTGTCAATCTCGCAGATAGTGCTTATCTTTATCTGTCGTCAAGATGGGGAATATAGATCGAGGCAGAGATAATCACTGCATGTAGGGTCCGCCGTTGCTGCGACTGCCAAGAACACTACAGTTTGTATATGCCCTTCTAGATCTGGTAGTTGCACAGCTCACCTTGCACACATAGCTGCCTAGCTCAGCACAGACGTGCTGGACAGCCCTACCCTGTACTCTAGCATAACAACCTTCACTGTAGTTAGCAAATGTAATATATACATTTGCATCTCCCTTTGCCTGTCACACATTAATATTAATATATTATCATGTCAAGGTTAGCATTTGCCATTCAAGCACATCAAACCTTGAGTGGGTGTTGAGATTGTCATGGTGCTGTTTGATGGAGTCCAGCATTGAGAAGGTATTTT